TGTGTGTGTGTGTGTGTGTGTGCGTGCGTGCGCATCTGTAGCCCTGTTTGTCATTAGAATTATCAAGCAGAAGAGGTTGATTTTGAGCATTTTATATTTTGATTATTTTATATTTTGCCTATTTTTTATTTTTTACCTCATCCCACAGTCACCTGCACCAAAACATCAGCATGCGGTTCCTAACTTGTGAGCCCAACTTGCAAGGGCTCTCTGGCTATGAAGAGGAAGCAGACAGATTCTACCAGAGTCCCCAGGACTGGCTGCGGTCGGAGTACGGTCGGGGCAAGCGCTACTGGCCCACACACATCGTGTACTTCAATTCTCTTCACAAGCAAATCAGTAGCCTGCTGACTCAAAGTGGGTACCGGATGTGTGAGAGCTTTTTCCACACCCACTTCCCTGAAGGAAGAGTGGGCTCTAGCATTTTTATCAGCTGTCGGTGGTCGGTGAAGTCAATGTGAGGACTAGATGGAGTTTGTGCTGTGTATGGACCTGTCAAGTTCTCAGATAAAATCAAAGCACTCTGATTTCTTTTTTACCCGTGGAAGAACCTTAATCGGATTTATCAATAATCCATTTTTTTCTTCTTGCAAATCTGTTTCCATAGGTTATGTGCGACTCATTGTAAATGGGTGTGAAAATGCACATTTTAAATCTCTTTTGCCATATTCGAGAGACTTATCTTAGTTGATGTGAAAATACACATTTCTATTTGGATGTATCTGCTGTACATGTTTGTCTCCTAATATCAGCTTGTAACGTAATCTTAATTTACTAAAATTCTATAGAATCCAATTTTTTTCCCCCCAAATTCCCAATTTTGGGAGAGGATTTTAAGGAAACACTCCTGATTTTGGTTGTGAGGTGGTAGGCAGGTCGGTGTGAACATTTTTAGAAACTTTAAGTCATGGTTTCCCTAAGACAACAACTGGAAGTGTCAAATGTAGACTGGTAGGTGTTGTTGAAGGGCGTGGTATGTAGGAGAACTGTGTTGGTAGTTTCACTAGTGGGATCTGTGAAAAAAGCTGTGGTAGAAAAAAAGTATTTGGACTTGTTGCCATGTAAAGAATATTTTAAACATTTTTTGATTGAAGTTTGTCCTGGGATCCTGTTTTGCAACTAAGTCTGTCCAGTCTGTCACATGTGGGAGGTAGCTATTAGGAGAAGCTTGCAATTTGTATGTAAAGCTAACTTTAAAATAATTGATGGACAAACTTCTGTAGATTTATTTTAGTGAGAAGAATGCCAAAGAGGGATTAGACAAGGAAGTCTCTTTCTTTTGAAAATAATTCAGTAGGCCTACTTGTTTCTTGAACATTTTGATCTGAATTTTCACATGATATCTTTCTAGACATAGCTACACATCCTCCAGGGGCTGTTCAAAGGTGTGACTCTTCCTTTCATGAAAGTCTTGCAATGAATAGAGCACATGGAATAAAGGGACATAATATGTTTTGCATCACAACGAAATATTCATTGGCCTTGGGATTGGAGCAGGATCAGGTTCTGTGCCTAGATGGGTAACTGACAACAAGGCTGGACCAACCCACCCAGATTTTCGAGAAAGAAAAAGTTGGAAAGTTTGCCTTAGGAGTATTAGGAGGTTGTTCCTATGCACTTCTCCCACTGTCAGCTCTCTGCGACAGTCTCTGCTCATCTCAAATGTGAATGAGACGAGTTCGCTTTTTCATTTTACAATATGATAGTTTCCATGTGAAGGATTAAGATGACTTTTATCTGCTTTGTTACTGTGTGTAATATTCCTTGCATGTAATATGAAATCCCATCACAGACCTTTTCATGCTTCATTGCTTGAGGCCGAAGCAGTAGCTTGGTTGTTATTGTGTTCTTGTACTTTAAAATGGGTACAAGAGTACAACAAAATCCTGAGCTCATGAATTTGAGTGTTACTCACACGTCTGTTGTTTAGCATTTGTGCTAATGTTTGACGACTGAATTTTCACAGAGATATGTTATTCAAACATTCTTTTTTAACTGTCTTACATAAGCAGATATTTTGGGCAAGAACTAAGTGTCAGCACTAAGGTCTACCCACTTTGATTATATTTGAAACTTCGGTTCTCAGCTTTTGTTATTGATCACATATTTATATAACATAAATCTGGGCAACTAATACACCTCCAAAATTTCTCAATTATACCACGTAACTATCAGAACTGGTGCTATGAGCTTCTTAACTAAAAAAAAAAAGCCTCTGCTGTGATGTATCAATCATTGTACTATATCCTTTGTTAAGTTCCCAGTGCTATTTGGTTCTGATTATGTTTGAGAAAATCTATGATTTTGATCTCTGTGTTCCTGTATTCAGCATATCATTGGCCAGCTGTTCAGATGTACTCAGCCCACAATTTTGAATTTTTTTTTCTAAAACTGCAGTTTGTTATTCAGTTGCATGAACTTGAGAAATATTTTGTCGAAATTAGAATACTTACTTTACTTTTGACTTTTACCGGCCTCTGTTACTTTACACTTACAGAGTCAAGAGGAGAAGCAAACATCTTTCTCCTCTCCCCCCTCTCCCCCCACCCAGGACGGTGCTACTGACTGAAGTGTCTTTAGGTCATTCCCAAAAGGGGGATATTAATATGTTTTTAGGCACAGTAGAATTGTAAATGGGCTGATTTATCAATGTCATGCTCGTACTGTGCCAAACAATATGGGGGAACTGCTGTTTTTTCTTTCCTCATCCTTACTATCTTCATTTTTCCTCTACTTCTTTTGCATGTTTGTCCCTCTCTTGTGAACTGCTATTTCCGGGGTGCCTTGATTGTCAAAGCAGACTTTGTGCTGTTGAGGCAAGAGAGGTGAGCAGAATAAGCCTGATTTCTCGTTTTGACTTCCCTGTTGACATCCACCCCGTGGCGTTCATATGACCTTATGTAGTTACTTTGCGAGCGCCGTAAAACCGTACAAGAACACAAAACAAAACGTCTTTCTTTTGTTTGTTGTATTGCCTGTTTCATGGTTATATTGTTTTTGTCTAATGTTTCTGTGCGTCTTTTCTGTCCATCTTTTCCAGGGCCTTCCTCTTCCTCTGTATCCATCTGATCTCTGTTGTGTGCTCTCGCTGCTATACTGTTTGGTGGTAGTCTTGACAGCTGTCCAAACCATTTTATGCTTTTTTCATCTATGTAGGCCTACCTCAAGCAGGGAGTTGAGCCAACATATGGGTGGTTGGTGGGTGCTCTGGTGTGGTTTACTCCTTCTTTCCTATCAAACATCTACTGTCCTTATCTCTCCTCCTTCTTTTTTGTGTATGCTACTCTCATGTAACACCTCTATTCTTCGGCACTTATATGACCTTATTGTGTTGCAAGTGCCGTGAAACTCTTACTAAAAGTAAACTGAGCCAACATGTCCTGAGACTATTTCGTTTCTCACCCTGTCTCTTCTTGTGATGTTCCAAGTTTTTCTCAGGCGTCACATTTCACAGGCTTTTTTATTACTTTAGTGACTCTTGTTTATTATCTATATTTGGTCTTGGTAACACAGTGGTGGTTGTTTCTTACTCTCTTGTAACACCTCTTATCTTCAGCACTTATCGGACCTTATTGTGTTGCAAGTGCAGTAATACTCTTACTAAAACTAAACAGTGTTGGTATGAAGGTGCTCTTAATCAGTTGGCACTTTCTTTCACTGTCTTGTTTGGATGCATAATGTAAAGGTACAATTATAAAAGAATGAAACAGTTTTTTCTCTCTCCTGAAAAAAATGTAACCTTCTGTGCTTAGCAGATTTGAATAGCTTGCTGATGATATGCTCTGTGTTCTTTAAAGATGTTGTTGCTGGTGTTGTTTTTCACACATTCCAAACTCTGGGTGTTGCCATTATCTACAAAGGTGTTGTTTTCTGCTGACCACTGTAATGAAGTCAACTGTGTATAACATGTCCTATGTCTGCTGTAATTGATATTTAAACTGACGTTCTCAATGTTACCGTGAATAATGTAATCAAATACTCGGAACTCAGAAAATAGAGTTGCTCAACAGTGCAGTTTTGTTACATTGTCACATCCATTCATTTAGAAATTAACCCTTTGTCTCCTCAATTTTTTTTTTTTGCGCTTTGACATAATTTGATTTTTGTCTGTCAAAATGGAGCTTGGGGTTACTTACATATCTGGCCATAATTCCGTGCTAAATTGAATTTACAACATGTTTCATACTTCATTAGAAATGGAAATGAATATAAAATCATATTATGTTAACTGATGGGCCAAAATACCAATTTTTTATCAATCTACATTCAGTTATGAATGTGTTTGTCACTTTTTATTTTAAAAAAAATTAGTATTCGCAAAATTACAGCCACTTTTGTTCAATTAGCTGAGCTTGGAAATTGTTACAATAAAGTTACAAACTGACACAATACCTGATTGAAGAACTGCTCCTTTTGTCAAACTATTTGCAAAAACATTGAACAGACCCCTAGGAGAAAACTGAACACCTATGTATAGAATACTAGTCATAGTGAGTCTTTTTCGGTGTTTATTTGGAAGTATGCTATTGCTGTCTTGTCGACTGGTGACACTGACCACTCGGCAAAATGCAACCTCCAGTCTTTCGGAGACAATGGGTTAATTGATATGTAATAAGTAATTTGATATTTGATGTCATCAGCTTTTATGGCTCATTTAGGATGTCGAATTCTTTTGCTAAAATATAATTTTTTCCCCCTTGATCTTGAGTCTCAGATATATTTTTTACTCTTGTGTAGGAATAGAAAATATATTTTATATTAAAAATTTTTGTTATCAAAGATTTTAAGGTTCATTTCCATAATCAAATGCATGTACGAACCGCAAGTTTTACGTGTTCAGATTTTTTTTTCTCCGCTCCAGTATCAGTGGATTTTTTATACTACTATCTTGTTTTGTCACAAAGAATGGTATGAAAAAGATTGTTCTGCTTGTTCATCTATGATAATGAGAGTCAGTTGATTTCTGTCACTGAGCATGAGAAAGCACCGAGTTGTCTCGTCAGCAGAAATGAGATTGTGTAGTCTTTATTATTTTTTGTTATGTTAAACAATTCTAAGTTATTGTTTTGTTTTCCAATTGTTCTCAGCATTTGGCCTACACTGTTGATTATGTCCTATGCAATGTTCCGTAAATATCTCTGACTGGGATTTGACTTGTGCTTTGAAGATCTGTTGTGACATAGAATATGATATGTAACAGATATGACAAATGTCTATTTTCAGGATTTTTTTTTTTCACATAGTATTTAGTGGAGAAAGGAGAAATAAGAATGGATCAGGGAAATTTGCTTATTTAGAGGGTGGAGAGAGGCTGTATTCAGTTTGTTGTTATTGGTGGCGTCGGTGGCCTAGTGGTTAGGCTCTCGGACTCGCAACCGTAAGGTCGTGGGTTCGAATCCCGTCAAGGGCCCGACGTTGTGTCCTTGGGAAAGGCACTTAACACGAATTTTCCTCACTTCACCCAGGTGGGAATGGGTACCCGGCTTCAGACAGCGAAAGATCTTGTCAGTTTGTTAGTGTTTGAGCGCTTAATCGGCTGCTTGCACTGTATGCTTCCCGGGATGCTGAGAATGTTTCGGAGTGTTCTATGGTCTGCTGGGGTAATAATATAGTGTAAAGCGCATAGAGCCTGCTGCTGAGCGGGGATATGCGCTATACAAATGCTATCTATTATTATTATTATTATTATTTATTTGAATGCTATTTCACTATAATCATGAGTCTCCGAATATGGATGAAGGCACTTGCAAGCATTATTGTAAAAAACAGATTTGCAATGACTGAGTTTTGTTTTACTTTATAAGTGTTCTGTTCTTCCTTGCCCGTTCAAATCATTTCTACATTGTATAATGTTGCCATGCCATAATACTAGTCTCAGAAGTACCGTTTTATTTATTTATTCTGTTTCTGTCCATCACTCACTAGTTTTGTACACTGTAGCTTTGTTAATATTTTTGATAGTGATACTTGAGATTTGAGTTAATGAAACTTGGCTTGCACAAAGTCACTTTTTTTACTCTTCCTTGCACAGTTATGGATGCTGTTCTGCCAGTGTGCTGAGGCAAAGTGACTATTTATTTGAACGCAAACTTCACAGTTAATAATAGTTGTAAAGCACATGTAGAATGCTGCAGAGCGTGGATATGCCCTGTGTAAATGCAATTATTATTTTATTTCTTTTTGTTTTCAATTGACATTTATTTGTGTGTGAGATTCAGTGAGTATGTTTAGTTGAAGAACAGGATAGTCAATGGATATATGTGAGGCGTGCTGACTTATGAGTAATTTCCCACTATCCACGAATAGACATCGGCTGAAAATAGACGCATCAAATCTGCAGATTTTTAAACTGATGCAACTTTTCTCAAGTGTAACATGTCTTTTTATTATTTCATAAAATAAATTGTACCTACCCAAACGATGATTTTTTTTCTTTCTGTGTCCATAGAGCTAAAATTTTAGAATTAACTCATTTGGTCAGCACACCTCATATATAATTATGCATCTTCTTCTTCTTGTTCTTTTTTAACACTTTGCAGTCACACAGCTCTAGCAGAACAAAATACCTCATCTGGTCACCTAGCCTGGACAGTGACAGCAATGGACTTCTCCAGCCTGTCGCAGAAACTACGTCAAGTGACTGTTATGGACAATTTCTACCGTTGTGTTATTGCGTCAAGTGACGGCAAAGTGTTAAATGGACTTCACAGTCTCTCGTTGGCAGGTTACTGTTCACCGCAGGTCCCCCAGCCTCCCATAGTGTTTTGGGTCTCTCTGCCTAGGGTTTGGCTAATATTTATATCTAAGTGCCTCGAGCATTGGGCAGGCTCGCAGCAACCCTGTTTGGTTACCCGTTTCACACTGACGCTGCTGCATATGTATCAAGAATAAAGAAATAATGGAAAGAGCAGAAGCTCAAACAATTTTTTTGCAAATGTTGTTGAATCTCCTGTATTTGATTGTTAGTATTCCTGTATTCGATCATCATTTTTGTCCCTAGTGGATGCTATCTATCTATCCACCCTTTCCACTGTAGCTTTAAAGAACTGTTATCACACAAATAAAGTTGCACTGAGTCTGTGGGGAAAATGGTTTTGTTATAGCTTTTGGCTATTTTTCTCGATATTGTTAATTATTGGTACTTTGTTGTTATTCTGTGTGTATGGCATTGTGTTTGGAATGTTCATTTTACCGGATGTTTTCTTTTATTT